TTACGAATCCAGAAGATCCGGTAGCTGAGCCGGTGGCTTGGAATATTGTGGCTGCAAGTGCGGTGCCGTTAGTAATCTGGTGAAGCTTTTTCGCGTCGAAGTAATCGAGAAGCACATGAAAAGAGAGAACGTTTTTTATAGTGTTGATAGATAGGTGTTTGGAGAGTAGATCTGACATTCCGGCATTATCTACAACACACACAGTGATGGTTTGCCGGCGGTTAATTTCAGTGGCGAGGTGTGTAGTTGTTAAGTAATGGTTAAAAGTAGAGAACTGTGTATGGTTGGCTAGAATGTGGGTAATGTTGTGAGCTTCAGTGGCACAGAGAAGGAGGACTACGGAGAGAACCACTGCGGCCACAGTGGCCGACGACGGAAGCTGCATGTCGGTGTTGTAAGAGAGAGAGGAACTCCGGTGACTGTGTGTGGGAGTGAGGGAGTTGTTATTGGGGCAAGTGAGATCTCAAGTGACTGCAAATTTATTGACCAGGTACGAACCTTATAGTAATAATGTATTTTTACACACATAACATGCTTTCACACATCCTGATATTATGGGCAACACAGCTATAAAATAACGAGAAAAAAGTACTCTTCATATATCTTATCTTTCCATTGGAGTTAAAAATTTCATTCTAACTAATGATATCTATTACTGGAGCAAGCTGACAGATATTTTGTGAAATTAGTCGAGACTTCATGAAAAAGAAAAAAGAGGTTCTCTTCCATATTTAGTGAGAGTACAGAAGAAACTAAAATGGAAATGCATTACCATATTATTCGAATTCTTTTTTTTTCTCTGAAAGGTTAATATTATCCGGATTCAGTTACACCCATTTCTTCGCAAACAAACAAATATGCATGTGGGGATTCCGTGAAGGTGATCATTATGTGTAAAATAAAGTACTAATAATTTATAATTTCACTTATTAAAAATAATACTAGTTACATATTGTAGACTAGTCATAGCCCATCTTTAAAAGTTTTGTTGCAACTAACATAAACTAGAATTTGATTTTCTGTAAAGGAGCTCTAGAGAATTAAATACTCTCATTACTTGAAATTAAAGAAAAGAGGTTACGTGAAAGCTAATATTGAAGTGTTGGACCATTGCTAATGCTAAACATTTTTTTTATACTTCTTTAAAAAGTTAAGTATCTTTGGTTTATGTTACTCTACCTTACCTTTTATTTGCTGATATTAAAAGAGATGAAATGTCTACTTTTTGGTTCAATTATCGTATTATTTATTGGTGTTATTTTGTATTATATATTGTATTTTTATTTTCTTCTTGTTGTTATGTTTTATTTGAGTCAATGGTAATTTATCGAAAACAACGTTTTTATCCTCTTTTCATATCTTATTTGTGAAATTTCACTGAATATTTGTTATTGTTATACCATTGCTACTTGAAGAATTCTTCCTACTTTATTCTTAAGAGTGTTTAGTAACTTCGATGTCTTAACGAAACAAAACTTCACTAATTTCACACCAATTAGAAATTCTCTTTTTATCTTTTATTTTACCTGAGGTAAAAAAAAAAAAAAAGGTCATCGTGATTCTTGAGTACACTAGCATGATTAACATGTAAAAAGAAAATACATGTGAAAAATTTAATCTCTTAAATATTGAGAGATATCGAAAAGAAAAAAGAAGACAAAGTAGAAACTTACAATTTATACTCTATACCTTACAATTTACTTTTTAAAGTTAAAGATAGTTATTAATTAGTACTCTATACCATACCATTTATATCGCTTAAGTAGTCACCTTTTAAAGCATTATATTTCGATGCCCAATGTGTGTACGTAAAATAGAAAAATAAATGTTACTAACATAAAGTAATTTAACAAAATACTTGACCATATGTTAAAAATATACAATCCTTATGGGACTATTCTCCTAATTTCATTAAATAATTTAGAAGAAAAAAATGGACGGTGGTCTGATTGAGTATGTCACTGCGTTAAATATGCTAATCTTTGACCTTGTAATCTACTGATTTTCTCCTCTACTGATTGATTGATTAGTTAAAATACAAAAATTGGGATGTATATAATGTTATTCTCTTTATGTGTGTTTGGAATGAAGGCACTTAATTGATTGATCTTTTAAAAAAGTTATTTTTTTATATTTGATAAGTAGCAGAAATTAGGGATGACAATTGGACGGGTTGGGTCAAATTTGGGTGGAGCGTGATGGATTAAGACAACAATTTTGTCAAGACCTAACCAAATTCAAATTTGCTTGTGTCAAAACGTGTTAGAAAATGAGTTATATAATGGGTCAAGACTGAACACAACTCAATTTTTACTAAGCTTAATTATTTTTTTGTTCTTTTAAATTATTTAAGTACCTAATAAAATTATTGTTTTTCTTTATTATAGCCATATATAACATGGGTTGGATTGTAATTATTGAGCTAATGAATGAGCAGATCAATAATTAGTCCAAACTTAAACAGATTGAGCGGGTTGAGTTTAATTTTGTTATCTCTAACAGAAACTAATGAGACATTAAACGTGAGATATCAGTTATGATATTCTTTTATATATATATTTTGACAGAGAAAGTTACTTTATTGATTAAGAATTTATCTTCTTAAATAAAAATTCTTTAAAACTAAAATGAAATACTAGCAGAAAAAGAGGAGGAAACTAAGGCTTAAAAGATGGAGTTCAAATAAAAGGCCACCACGTGTATAAAGCATGACTGTCAGTGATACATAATTACGTAAGCCTGCCCACAAAAGTTATTCGGTAAACAAAATATTTTTTTAAATAAACGAATTTTTATTTCTCTTTTATTGTGTAAATAAGTAAATGATATTATTCTAAAAGTATTTGTGTATAATCTAGATAAATATTAAAGAGAGAATGAATACGATTGGAGGGCAGAAAACACAATTAATGTAGAATATTATTTGTGAAATTTGTTGGATAATATCATTTTCGATCTCTTTTTTAAAACATTTTTGCCCAAAGTCTGATTCATATATATATTGTACGCTATCACAGCTATTTAGATTGTGATTTAGTATTAAATTACTACAACTCATTGGATTCCACCATTAATTTTGTGGCAAAGTCTGATTCATATATATATTCATGGACCTTATATTATAAATTTTTTTTATTTTTTTTTTAATATGGATTTGATGATATATATACACTATAAATGTTAATTTCATTATAATCAATGATTGGACCATGCAATTTATGTGTTTGATGGGTTCAGTCACGCTGGTGATGAGTTTAGGCTTCACTCTATAGCCCTTGGATAAACATCTATGGTGGTTTTATCATAATATTTATTTGGGGTTGGCACCATGGTCCAGGGGTGTGATTTAGTGGAAAATAAAGTAGTTAAAAATTCCGAGGTCTCAATTTCAAGTGGAGATAAAAATATTAGGTGTTTTTTTTATCATCGTTACCTGATACTTGTGGGAGGTCATAGATAGCAGTAGACCAAATCATTCATTAATTTGAGGTATGATTCGAACAGATATGCAATTATTTTTGGTCTCAAATACTACCTTTAAACTGAAGTTGTTATAATTCCACTTCTGCTCCAAAATCTATATACAGTACAACACAACTAACTTTATTTGGTCTTCGTTTTCTTGTATATATCGAAATAAAAAAACAAGAATTAAAATGCTAATTAAGTGGAAGTAATAATAGAAAGAAAAGAAGTTTGTCCTTGTGCACAAATTTCTTCATATGCCAACCAACTTGTTGATTTTGTGCGTTCGAATATTTGCTTGTTGATAGAAAATGATAAATCTTTCAAATGAGAAAATGGAGAAAAAAGTCATTACAAAAACACTCACACATGGGACAAGTTCTAGCTAAAAATCTTTAAAAAATTGTAGGTCGATGAAAACAGTTTCATGCAGAAATGTAGGATAAGACTATTGTAATACAATAAAACCTCTTTTAATTAATATAGGCGGGATCATCAAATATTATTATTTTATAGAGATATTATTTAATCGATAATTAATTAATATTTATTAATTTACAGAGTGTTTCGACACCAAATAAATTGTTCAGGAATCCACTTGTGAAAACGTCATTCATGAACTTGAGGTCATGATTAATGATCTCGTTATCGCAATAAAATGGACGTTAATAACCTATTCAATGGGTGAAAATGATACATGTTCAGAGAGTCAGAGCTTAGAACAAATTGTGGATATCATTGGAAAAACAATGTTGATGATAAAATTGAAGATGATACAATACCATTGAAACTAGTTACGCGTATGAAAACACTTGCATCTAGAACTCTTCACAATTTTATGGTGCAATTAGAAAAGACAACGTCGAAACTTTTGGATGCAATAAGAAAAGTTAGAGATGAACTTCAACTAGATTTAAATTTTAACAAAAAACAGAACATAATAGAATCATATTTCACTAAATTTTCTTAGATTTATTTGTACTTTGAAAGAATTATTAATTTATAATATTAATGGGACCATATATTTATATAGGGGTCTTCTAAAAATCTATTATCTTATCGAAATGAGTAACTTTTTCCATTGACCCAAGTCAGGACCGAAATAAATTATTATCTTAGAGAGATTATTAATTAATCAAATATTAATTTAGTGAGGTTTTACTATAGATATGACTATTGTAATAGATATTTTTGTGGACTGGTCCCCGCATAGTGCAAGCTTAGTGTACCAGACTATTTGTCATTTTAGTACATGACCACAATATGTTGTGATGAAATAGTAAATACTTTCTTTACGATTAGAGAATGGAGTTTACTATGGTTGGGAGTAAACTCTTTTATTCCACATTTGAATAGATGATTGAAGATAAACTTACAATTGTTGCAAATGAGTAGAAATGTGTTGTTACACAAGGCACAATAACAGCAACAAATTTGCATAAATATACTAATATGGAAACAATATAAATATAATTAAACCAACATAAAATCAACTGTTATCTGAGAAAACATAAGAGTTCAAAAAAACAAAATGCCTAAAGAAAAAGTGGCCATTCATGCCACTCATAAGGAACTAAATTGGTGTACGTTTTGCTATTGCCATTGCCAAAATCACACACTACCTTTGAACAAGACTTGTCCATGTCGTAGCTCATCAGAACCTCAGCACCACCTTTTTTGTTATTTAAAACAATAAGAATTAGCGGCTCAGCTGGGTGAAATGTCATATCGCGATTAGATTGAATACGTCCACTCTTTAAAAGTCCCGAGTTACTAAGACAAGAGTAAACATGAATACAAATACTTAGTGTAGTGTACTGCTCCCATATAGCTGTCTTGTCTCGCACACCGCTCTTCAGGTGCCAAACACTCATGTCTCCAAAATTCATGAGTCCACGACTCGTACCTCCATAACAGAGAACTCCTCTCGATACACCTAAACTTCTCTTATGTTGATAATCAAGTCCATCAGGCACATCGATGCACCAAAAACATGTATTGACACAATCATATACGTTGATTCGAGGTCCAAAATCAAGCCAATAGAACACTCCATCAATAGATCCTCCTGATTTTAGCCAGTTGGAAGGGTGGTGAACAGAGGTATGAAAATCAATACGAGGAATTTCAATTTCAATTGCGAAGTTTATCTTAACCCACACATTACTTCTGAAACTTTCAATTGTTACCATTGATTCTGCAGGTATCTCATAACGAACTATAGTAAATGAGACAATATCACTATTAATTGGGTCATCTAACTTGCAATTAAACCCAATTGCAACATGTTTAGCACATGTTGATGCTTGGGGAAGGGCAATGGATTGCCTTGTGGCGGGATTATAAACATAGTAATGTTGTTGATATATTTCTTGCTTACAGCAAAGGAGAAACCCCATCGACGATGCAATAATGTATAGGCTATGGTCAAGTAGAAAATTTACAGACTTATCGAAATTTTCTTTAACCATATTCTTCTTCTCTGATGAAGTGAAGAAAAAACGAATTGGGGATTGTGTACCTATAGGTTGGTAAAATAATCCTATAGTATGAGTACACAATTGTCTCTGAGAACGAGAATCAGATACATGTTGTCCCCAACTACGAGACACACATTTAAATCTCGCAAGGGATTTTGAAGGCAACCGATGCAATATATCAATTATTGTGTCTTCTGACTGCTCCATGACAATCTGCAAATTCAATAGAATTGATAGTCTAAAACCAGCAATTCAATTAAATTGATAGTCTAAAACCAATTAAATTGATAGTCTAAAACCAAACTATAATTAAAGGCATTATGTTTGATAGTCTAAAAACCAGCAATTCAATGAAATTGATAGTCTAAAACCAAACTATATTAGACACCTTTCATACTAATTAAATCAAAATCATCAATGAATAAACAAAAAAAATAAAAATTAGATAATTAGTAAACTAATTAAAAACCGGCAATTAATATACTAACCTCGATAGGTTTCAAAGATTGAAAAACAAAGATGAGAGAGTTCACAACTTCTATTAATATACTGTGTTTGTGTGTTATATAAAGACTCAAATTAGAGTTTTACTAGTGGTGTTATTCCTGTCATCACGGGTTCAATAACTATTCGAGAAAATAAGTTTTTTTTTGTGGATAATTATCTTATTATTAATATTTAATAGTATTAATTTGATTCCGGTAAAATAAGATAAAATGTGCCATCACGGGCTCAATAACTATTCGAGAAAATAAGTTTTTTTTTTTTGCGGATAATTATCTTATTATTATTAATTAATATTAATTTGATTCCGGTAAAATAAGATAAAATGTGCAAAAAATAGCTTTTAGCCTTAGTTTTGCACAATAAATTGTGCAATCTATCATAATTTTATGGTTAAATTCTGGTGATCCGTTAAGATATGATTATATTAGAGATTTGTTAAAATTTGGCCATAAATCTAGATGATTTAGTTAGGGTTTATGACAAGCCTTTTCACACAATAATTTGAATTTTTTAAAATTTGTTGACTTTTACAAAAATGCATATTAGAGAACATTAAAAAATTGCAGGTTTCATTAGTGATAGAAATAATTCAGGTTTAGTTGCTCTCCCATATCTCTTACTATAATTCAAAAACAAGAGAAAATGCATTATAATACTAAAAATATATTTACTTCCACCAAGTTAATTATCACGATTAGTGTTTAACTAAAATAAAAGTTGGGAATAAAGTACTTAAAGAGCAAATAACTTAAGGGATATACTCTATTCAATATTGTATTAAATTAGAAGTCTAAATATAACGAAAGAAGTAAACATTTGGCTATAAGTCAGGATATGCGGTTTTTCAGTTAGACAGGTAGCAATGGGTAGTATGGAATTTAAAATTTCACTGCAATTATTTATTATAAATGATAATCAATAAATTAAAATACAAAAATAAAGACATTGAATGAATAAAAGTGTCAAAAAAATAACAATAAATGTGATAAAAGACTCCATAATAGGAATTTTGTGCAATATTGGGCGGGATGCATTCAAATTGAAAGTGCGGCCCAAATAGCAAGCCCACTTAGAACCACCGGCACCTTGAATACTGAAATTGCAGCGGAAACATCATCAGCAACTGGTGCTGGTGAGGTTCCCGGTGATAAATTCGCCGGCGCCGTAGTAGGCCCGTTAACAGACTCTGCCGGACTTGCTGAACTTGAAGGAATGCTTGGGGATACTGACGGTGTCTCAGTACTGGACGGAACATCCGCTGCCGTCGGGGAAGACGCCGGAGTGCTCACCGGAGTTGATACTGGCGGAGGAGTTGCAACAGAAGGAACCGGAGCAGATCTACTGATTGACGGAGTGAGTGCTGGTGAAATGCTGGTTACTGGAGAAGCTGCTTTCGGTGACTGTACCGGCGCAGCAGACGGGCTAACTATAGGAGCCGAGGGCGAAGACACTGGAGAACTAGCCGGAGGAGAAACCGGTGCTTGAGATTTTACCGCCGGTGATTTAGTCGGAGAAGAAACCGGTGCTTGTGATTTTACCGCCGGTGATTTAGAAGGAGAAGAAATTGGGGATTGAGAAGGTGCATTTTGTGCTTCACCGGAATTTAACACGAGAATAAATACGATAACAATGCCAAATAATTTAGACATATTGCAATGCTAGAAAATGAGAAAGAACAGAATATTCCGGTGGTCGTTAAACTAGCAGAAATTGAGAAAGAATAGAATATTCCGGTGGCCGGAAAACTATAATCAATTGATTAAATAAATACTGAAGAATATTGAAGAGAATGTTTGTTTGGGGAGAAATATATAGGAAGTGAAACTAAACGTTGCGTTCATAAAATTTTAAAAGCAAAGTTACCGTTGATAGTCGTGAGGCTCCAAAGGATACGGCCGTACGGCTTGTCGCAGTAATGTAGCCGTTATTGAAAAGTATTTCCCCGGTTCGGTAAAAATTTACTCGTACTTGATGTTTGTACTTAAAATCGGAGTTAGAATTTTAAGTTTATAGAATTTGAATTATTATTTTTCATTATAGATGAAATTGTTAATTTTTTGATGAACTATTTATACATATTACATGAAATCAACAGCAATATAGAGTTTACGTCAAAATTATTTGATTCTCTTGAATTCGTGATGAGCATGCTGGCATTGTCCCTGTCTGCACCAGAGGTGAATCTAGAGTATCAGTTGGGGGTTCTCGAGAATCTAATTGCTTTTACTTGAACCTGTTATTTATATTGAGAATCCATAATTATATAAGAAACTGATAATCAGGAAACCCACAATTAAAAGTCGTGGTAGTTCAGTTTGAAAGGAAAGGTAGTTCAATCAACCGCGAGTAGAAATCCTATAAAAGGAAAATATGATATCTCTCTTAGCCTTCTTCCGAGCCACGTTAGCTCATATCATAGGGCTTTTTTAATTTTTAAGAAAGGTTGGTTCAATAGCCAAGAAGAAACTCAATTTCGATCCTCTTGTCCTTCACGCAAGATCGATTCCCCTCGAAGTTATACAAACATTCTTTTGTCCATTATTATTGTGCATTACTCCTTTTGTTTAATTGAAATTTCGAGAGTCAACTAAATTTGTTGGTATAAATATTCAATCATTGTTTTGGCATCAAAATTAAATTGAGTAACAAAATTGCAAAAAATACTTCTCGTTCAAATAAAATACATCAATCTAGGGGCATTTATAGGGTCATTCAATTCAATTTGATATTTTTTGCTTTAACTATTTAACTTATCAATTATTGATTTTTATATGTTCTAAACTGCTACCAAACTAATAAAATATGATTGATTCAATTGAATTTAGTGATTATTAAATAGTTATCAATCGAGTTATCGATTAAATTAATACATATATTCCAAATATAAATTGTCCTCCACCGATCCATAGTCCAGATTTCACAGAGTGTGAAAAACTGTTATCAGGTTATGGCCTCTGATTGAAGCATGACAATCCTCTAAATCACTTTCTCAAGAATTAGTGGGTTATCGATTATTTAAATATAAAAATTAAACAATTTACTTTTAAACTAATAACTCACTATTTAAAAATTCTAAATCATTCACAAAATATTAATCCGACAGTGTGATACTTATTATATAATATTAACACTTTTTTGTTTGAGTCATCAATACTTATGGTTCAATTTTGAATATCCCTAGCCCCATCAATTATACTTTTATCTAAGCCCATCACCTATTTCAACTATTATTTCATTTGATTTGAAATACAATATTATTTAATATGCGATAGCTTTAAGATAAAATTACATCTTGGGTCAAGTGGCTCTCGTTCGAAAAACCAATAAATTGACTAGCCTAACAAGTTTTGGCTTTTAATTAATTTGATCAATATTGTGTACATAGGTTTCAACTATATGAGCGTATAATTTCCTAATATTTACTTAGATTAACATATTTAGAATTTAAAATATTGTTCAAACTAGTTTTAAATTTAAATCCAATTTAATTGAGATACCTACAGTACATTGCATGTGTCTTTGTATGAGTTGTTACTTCAATTCTCACCTCACGAATTAGCTTAGTTTTTGAGACTTAAGTAAATTTAAGATCCGTTTATTATTATGGTTTCACTACCAAACTCATTAATATTATAATATTTCTCAACGTTGGGTTATTACATTCTAACTATTTGAATCGGAGATAAACCTTTGATTGAGGAACTGAAATATTATCATTTTATATGACCTCAAACAAGTCTTGCTTTCAAATTCAATTTCGGATATTGTTTTTTTCTCTTTTCTAATTGCAACCAAATCATGTCAAACTCAAATACATACATTTGTTTTAAAATTTTGTGTCTAATCAAACCCTTAAAAGTGAGCTAATTAATATTTCTGACTCAATTATATCTCTAAGCATGAACCGTGTTGGTTAATAGAGATATGAAAAAATTTCTTTATTTGATTCGACTGAAGAAAGCCGAATAACAAATAAATATGAAGAGTACTATACAAGTGTCGAAAATCGAAGAAATTAATCAAGCCTAAACTCTTCACAGTTTAAATGAAAAAAATACAACTTTCAACTATTTTTATATTATTTACAGATCTAATACAAGTACAACAATAACATATTCTCAATGTGATCTTTATAAGACTTATTCGGGATGGTTAACAACCTTATCCAAGGATAACAATTGAGATTTGAGACAAAGCAGGCAGGACAAACTCTCGGTCGAACAAGATAAGGTAAAATTTAATTTGCTTGAAATTTAAATTGGACAATTTAAATAAGATAAAACAGATCCACTATAGTTACTATGAGTACAATGAACTAAATCATTGTCCCTGTTTTTATCACAAACATACTAAAAATAAGAGTATACACGCAATTTTTTTTTATAAATTACCTCTAGCGTAACGTAATTATAGATGGTCAAAGGAAGATGATTATAATTGTGAGTTGTTGGATTAAGGCATTAAGCAATAAATGCATACATAGTTATAATGAAAACCAACAAAGTTTAGTACGTGTTTAATTAATAGGGAAATTATTTAGTAACTAGCTAGTAGTGCTATTAATTAGTAAGATTTTCTAACACGAATAATAAATTCGGACGAAATAGTTTTTTTTTAATTAAGAAACAACAAATGAAAAAATAGAGAATTTCTTTTGAAAGGGAGTATAAACACGACATGTTACCTAATAGTTTAATTTTTTAGATGAAATGACCATACACATTAACATAATATGGGATTAAATTTCACCATCACCTATTATCAAAATGAATTTACATGTGTTTGACTAGAAAAAATTTAATCTTATACGTGAAGAACGTGTTGAGAATACAATTACATAATAAAAATATATTTTTTATCCTTCTAACAACTCAAATTTGTAGATAAGGTAGGCACACTTATTTAGCAAGGCTTAATAGGACAGAGGAGGGTAAAATTTTGAAAAAATAATAACCAGAATAGGGCAAAGGAGTCAAGACTTCCCTACCACGCCTTACCCTTTCTAATCTTACCCCTATCTTATAAGGATAGAAAAATTACTTACAAATAATATTTGACTCAAGTAAAACATGTAAAAATGAAATATCATAAAGAAATATAATAGCGAAGAAAATATAATAAAAAACTAACAATATTAATATCTTATATACTCTTATATAATAAAAATTACTTAATAATATATTACTAAAAATAAATTTATAAAAATATACGAAATCCACCTAGTAAATAGTCAACACAAGACAAAATGTTAGAAGTATGTGGGCAAAATCAAATTGAAATTGATAATTTGAACCGAAATAATAATAATTGATTTATTAGTAAGGGGTTGATTTAACGGTTGTGATAATGATCTTGATTTTCCTAATTATTGAGTTGTCGATTTTTAATGATTTGAAGCTTTTCTTTAACGAGTTAACTGATAATCCAATAGTAAATTAATATATTATATTTATATCATTCGGTATATAAAGTCGTTGACCTTAGGTTTAGTTTCATATTTTTTTTATTTCTGACAGTCTCAAACTTTCGATTATTCTACAAAGTGTTAGTGTTGCTTTTGAACAAGACGCAATCTATGAACTCATATGCATGATTTATTTTGTTAGTCACCATATTTCTAAGTAATTTTCATATTTATTTTTGTCTCATATCTTAACAGTTAAATCAATAGTTGAACCGATAATGATCAATCATTAATAAATCGACAACCGATAAACCAATACACTAATGGTTATTTAACGATTTAGCATGTCTACAAATCGATAACTGATAAGTCAAACTGATAAACTTCAAAATTGAACTGCCGATACGCAACCCTGATACTAAGGGTGTGTAAAAAATCGAATCAAAATAATGTTATTGACTTATTGGTTATTCATTTGCCCTCTACCTGTATTTCTCAATTCACATTTAACAATGACTTTGACTTCGCAAAAAAACTATTTCTTTTATTTGTGTCTTTTATTCATGAGTATTTTGTAAAGTTTTATTATTATTTTGTCGCTTTAAATTGTAGGAGAAGTCATATATATTTATTTTATGAGCATATTTTTATTGATTAAACCGAAAATCAAATTGTTAATGATCAAAAATCAATAAGCCAAAAACCAATAATTTATTTTTTATTAATTTAACATATTTAAAAATCAAAAATCAAATCGATAATACATAAAATAACAATTCAACACGCTTATAAAATATAAAATACGGAAATAATTAAGGAAAATATTTACCCCTCTTTCTCATAGTTTCTTGTCACAACTCAAACTTTCCAGAGAATTAGGGTTTCTTCCCTTTTCTCCCTAAAAAAAATCACTCTGCTCGACAAATTCAACTTGCTGTTCCTCCGGTAAGATTATTCCCTCAATTTCAATTTGTTGTTTGTTGATTGTTTGATTTATTTTTTGTTGTATTTTTTTCGTTTCGTAGCTAGTGTTAAAATTTGAAAAATTCCGCTTCATTTGAGCTCTTGATAACTAATCCTAACCCTAATCCTGTTAGATTAGGTCATGGAGGATAATGAAGGTGGGGATGGAGTTGGTGGAGAGCCAATCGAGCAGTTTCACAGGAATGAAGCGATCTCCGCTGTTGCTGATGATGGGTTCATGGTTGAAGAGGATGATGATTACGAAGATCTCTACAATGATGTTAATGTTGGTGAGAATTTTCTTCAATCTTTTAGAAAGAATGAGGATTTAGTATCTAGGAATGATGAGGTAGAGAGGAAGCCTGAGCAGCCTGCCCTTCCGGCGCCACCACCGGTAGTGGCAGCACCGCAAGTGGTGGATGAGAGTGGGCGTGGCGATTTTCAGGGTGTGGGTGGGGAGAGGAATCCTGTAAAAGAGGAGGATGTAGTGTCTGGGATTTCTGCTAGAGCGTCAGTAGGTGCAGCTGTGTCTGGGCCTTCTGCTGGTGGTGGGTTTAGGGTTGAGTTAAGTCACCCGTCAAGTAAGATGGGTGATTTAGCAGAGCGGATGGTGAATAGTAATGTTCCACATCAGGTGATGGCTCAACAGCCTCATGCTGGTGGTGTTGCAGTAGCTGCTGGAAATTTGGGTAATGTTGGAAATATGGGGAATGATAATTTGATAAGGCAAGGAGGGGTTAATATGAACGGGGTGGGTAATATTGTTGCTGGAGTTGGGGTCGCTAGTGGTGGAGGAGGAGGTGGTGGTGGCGGTGGCGCGACAATTCTTTTTGTTGGTGATCTGCATTGGTGGACCACAGATGCTGAGCTGGAAACTGAGTTGAGCAAGTATGGACACGTGAAGGAGGTGAAATTTTTTGAAGAAAAAGCTAGTGGGAAGTCTAAAGGATATTGCCAGGTTGAGTTTCATGATTCCTCAGCTGCCACAGCTTGCAAAGAAGGTATGAATGGACACATGTTCAATGGGCGGCCATGTGTGGTAGCCTTTGCATCATCACCGTATAATGTGAAGAGGATGGGTGAGGCTCAGGTGAATCGAAATCAGCAGGTGGCTCAAACTGCTGTTCCCCAAGCAAGGCGGGGGCCTGGTGAAGCTGCTGGTAAAATTGGAAATAACAACACTCCTACTGGTGGCAATTATCAAGGTGGTGGTGGTGGTGGGGATGGCAACAGGGGGGGTTATGGTAGAGGAAGTTGGGGTAGAGGAGGTCCTCAAGCTATGGGAAATCGGGGGCCTGTGGGTCCTATGAGAAACAGGCCTGGTGGGATTGCAGGAAGGGGTATGATGGGTAACGGTGGAGGTGGATTTGGACAAGGTATGGGTGGTGCACCTCCTATTATGCATCATCAAACAATGATGGGTCAAGGCTTTGATCCTGCTTTTGGAGGGCCTATGGGGAGAATGGGTGGTTATGGAGGATTTCCTGGTGGTCCAGCTCCACCATTTCCTGGTATGTTGTCATCTTTTCCACCTGTTGGAGGAGTTGGGATGCCTGGAGTAGCTCCGCATGTAAATCCTGCATTCTTTGGTAGAGGAATGCCAATGAATGGTATGGGAATGATGCCAGGTGCTGGTATGGAGGGGCCTAACATGGGGATGTGGTCAGAACCTAATGCGGGTGGATGGGCTGGTGACGAGCATGGTGGTAGAGCAGGAGAGTCAAGTTATGCAGAAGAAGCTGGGTCTGATCATCAGTATGGAGAAACAACTCACGATAGAGGGGCTTGGCCAAATAATGTGAAAGAGAAAGATAGAGGATCAGAGCGTGATTGGTCTGGTTCTACAGAGAGAAAACATCGAGAAGGCAGAGAACCTTCCTATGATAGAGACATGGCTCGTGAAAAGGATCGAGGGCATGACCAGGATTGGCCAGAGAAAAGATACCGTGATGATAGAGATGTCGCACGTGACAGAGAGAAGGACCGGGATCATGAACGTTCTAGAGAACGAGGGCGTGATCGTGAGAGGGATCGAGATCGTCATAGGGATGATAGAGATAGATATGCTGATCATCATAGGTACAAGGACCGTGAGCAAGAATATGATGATGAAGACAGAGGAAGATCATCAAGGGGACACAGTAAATCACGATTATCACATGAGGAAGACCATCGATCAAGATCAAGGGATGCTGATTATGGAAAGAGGCGGCGTATAACTTCTGAGTGATCTGTGGCCTTGGCTGCTTATTTTCAAGGGTACTTCACAATGAGATCGATTAGTAGCTAATCTACTGAGGGTTTGCCGTGTGTATTCAGGCTTTCTACTGGGAGGCTTCCTTTACTTCCTGCTTTCATCAAACAGTTGCTCTCTGAAATGTTCTGTCGCACTCATGTTTATGCTCTTTTCCTGTTTAAGGAGCACTGGTCTCTCAGCACTAAGAAGTAAGTTCACAGCTCCTCTTACATTGAATTAGTTGCTTTTGGTAATGAATACTACCTGTATTTGCTATTTCTCTGTTTAGGAGGATGTTCTTTGTCTGAAGGGCCTTCTCAAGCATGATGTGCTAGTTGGGAGGGGACTACTATTATTTATGTGGAACTTAAATGTTACCAAAGTTTTCACTGTTTGATGCTGGTCATTCATGGAAAGCGTTCCTTATGACTTGTTGTGTAATTCTATATGCTAAAGCTGAGGCATTTTTTGTTTTTTGAATTTTGGTGTAAAGAGAGCTATATAGAGGATACTGAATCGCTTATAGATTTTTCTTTTTTGATTCCTTGTAATCTAGAAGATATTTTATGTTTTGTAAATATTTGACTGCCAGTACCATCTTGGTACTGAAGAATACACTGCTATCTAATTAAAAAAATTATAACAACAACAACAACAACGCCAATGTCATCCCACAAGTGGGTTTGGGAAGGATTGGATGTACACAAATCGTACCCCTACCTTTGTGGGGTAGAGCTGCTGAAAAAAATATGATTATTAGGACCCGTTTGACTATGAACCTTGTGAGTTTAGAAAAAAGTAGTTTTTGCTTTCAAAGTGAAAAATGGTATTTGGAAATTGGAGTTGTGTTTGGCCATGAATACAAATTGGAGTTGTTTGTGAATTTGGTGTTTTCAAATTTGGATTTTTTTTGGAATTAAGTTGCATTCTGGAGCTTTATGGCTTAACATGATTTCCAGTTTCAACTCTGGGAAAAAAGTATAAATATTCATGGCCAAACAGATGTTTCATGTAGAATTTAACTTCATAAGAAAGTGACTGATACTATAAAAGCCATAGGAAAATGGATGTTCCTTGGGGAGAGCGTGAAGTTGCTCATTCAATTCTGCAAGTAAACAGCATATATGTCTTTTGTAAACCATCAGTTTTCTTTGTCTTTGCACTTTGTTGTTATGTGATATCCTTCAAGCTGATGTATGTCTAGTTTTTGGTATTTGGGAAATTTAAAAAACACATGGCATTTTGGAAACCCTGCAAGGTTTTCAAATTTCACAACTTATTTGTTAATTAATCATGAATCCTAATAGACTGTCCTGTTACTCCTTTGTTATGGAGGGCTATAATTAACATTTCTCTCAGGTTCTTCTTGGTGGGGTTCTTAATAGAAAGTGATGCATTTCCAGTATAAGCTCGAGATTTTCTAGTAGTTTTAGCAGAAATAGTGTTCCAATTTAATACTCCTTCCGTACCAATGTATGTGGTTGTATTTGACTTGGCGCGAAGTTTTAGAATGGATGATAGACTTTTTGGACTAAACTTAGTCATGCCTGAAAGTATCAAGGATGCCTACATCAGTTGGATTCTCTTGGAAAGATCTATGATGTGTTTGGAAGGAGTGGAATTGAAGATGTTTTGTTGAAATATCAACTCCAAAGTACTCCTTAAGGCTAGATGTTTTTTGAATTTATGTAGTTGGAATAGCTTGTCCCCAGTGGACTCCGATGTCAAACTTTTGGATTTTGTTAGCTCCTTATACATAGCATAGGACTCATTGTAACTGAGGTAACAATCTCTCTCTTTTGTAATTATGCATCTTCTTGATGCCATTGATACTACTGCTTACTTTTTTTTTTTGAGAAGGTAACATTTGTATTTCTATTTCCAAAAAATCAAAACCTGCCACAACATGTTACAGATTCCTAATTACAGATTAAAGAGAGTATAACAGAAGATCTTCAATCCTATGACAAAAATTACAAAAATTACAGGGATCCTAAGACATTCATAACTGATTCTAGATCTTCCATATACTCCTGTTTACACCAAAAATGAAACAACACCAGACAATTCATCTTCATCTTCTGAATAGTGTTGCTCTTGTTCTGATGACATCTAAGGTTCCTTTCTTTCCACGTTGACCACCAAATACAAGCTGGGATGATTTTCCATCTCTCCCTATGTCCTGAGATGTTGGCATAACTACTCCATATCTTCAGGGTTTGGGTTACTCTCCTTGGCATCACCCACTTCAGTCCTTTTTTATTGATGAAGAGGTCCCACAGTTGGTTGGTTATCCTACAGTGAAGAAACAGGTGAGTCACCGTCTCAGCCTTTTCCCCACATAGGAAACATCTAGGGCTCAAATGGATACCCCTCTTCATGAGATTTTCCTGAGTCAAAACAGCATGTTCAGATAGTAGCCAAGTAAAACAAGACACTTTGTAGGGAATTTTGGCTTTCCAAATCATTTTCCAAGGCCACCCATTAATCTGGGTATTGAAAGGGTTGAACTTTTTGTAAGCCCCCTTGACACTGAATCTTCCTTGCTTGTGATCCTTCCATTCCAGGCAGTCTTGGACAGTGTTTCCTCCTCTGAATTGTTCCAGAGTTCTGTAGAATTCTACTACTCTCTGGATCTCCCAATCATTGAAGGGTCTTCTAAAGCTCAGATTCCATCCTTGGTTTGACCAAACCTCAGCCACAGATACTTCTGCTTACTTTATCAGAGAAGAAAGAAAGATTTTCTGAAATTCTGGTCTAAAACAAATCATAAACATGTATTTGGTTATAAATGATCTCATAAAGAAAAATAAAAAAATCATCTCATCAAGGTAAGGTGAGAAGTTTAAAGTTAAAATTATTTGTGAGTATGACATTTTTCAGATGAAATTGGGAAACCTAAGGGAGTACTCTTTTTTGTTTGTTTGTTTGAACAATGTTGGCATGAGTTGAGTTTAATTTGAGAAACATGGCTGAACCCAACTCGGCAATGAGGAATAGTTGTGTGCTAATTTAGATGAATGTTGATCTTACCACATGAGACTGATTGTAGTTCCAATCTTGATTATTCTTTTTTCTGCAAGGTGTTGATTACAAATGTTGTTTGGTTTCTTGTGATTATAGCATAGAGGATGTAGAGCAAGCTGTTGGAAGAAGTATGGAAGGAAACTCCTTGAAGCTTCTGCCTGAGGAAGAATGTTATATTACATGGTTTTACCTCTCAGTGAAGATTGAATTGCTAGTGGAACCTTTTATCTCAGTTTTTAGCCTCTTTTTAAATTTATGTTTTTGTTGAATGTGACCTGAATAATCCTTTCTGGTGACTTGTGACTTTATTGTAAGCCTAGCCATAGATTATCATAGACATTTGCTATTTGATGTAATGTGTTAGGAGGATTTGACCCACAGGTTGGCGCCGATCTGCTCCCTTGCTCTGGCGTTTGTTGTACTAATTATTTTTCTCTTTGTATCATCTTCCTTTCTTTGTTTTTGACCCAGTTTTTTAGTTGGGCATGTGTTGTTGTTTAGCGCTAATTCTTCCTTCTGCAAGTGTACATAGAATTTTCTTGTTACAAGTTTCTGAAAAATGTACATGGAATACTAACAAGGAAATAGTTCCTGTCATTCTAAATGAACTCTTTACATTTGTCGTCTTTGTTTGCATTTTGTGTTTTTCATGTGTGCATTAGATGACACTGTGCATAGCGCTAAAGTTACACATTTACTACTGTAACTGTTTTTCATACTTGATTTTTCATATGCTTTACTTGATTCGAGGCTTTTCTCACCAACAGCCTCCCTACCTTAACAAGGCAAGGGTAAGAGTGTTATACACCTCTCTTTTTAGACCTTGTAAGATTGCATCGGGTATTTTGTTGTTGTAGAGTGTATGTTTATGAAATAATGTATTGTCTTTTTATGTCATCGTTGTTATTTCACGAAATTTTCTTTTGGTTTATGATTCTCGATTTAGCATTCTTGTGCGAATAATGTTCACATTATCTAATTGAATTTTAAGGGTTGATTGGAAACACCCTCTCTATTTTTGTATGATATGTATGCACACCTTCCTTTGTATGGAATTATACTGGGTATTTTACTTTTGTTCATACGATAAAAGATGACAGACCATATTTATGAAATTATACTTGGTACGCTATTTATACTGAGCAAGGGATTGTTTTGGTACTTATGTATTAATACCTTTGATTACAATTAATTACCAAGCAATCAAACTTATATCATTTTTATAGCACACGCTAGCGTAAATGGTAACCAATAAGTCAAATTGGTAAATTTCAAAATCGAATCGAACCGATCGATATGCACCCTACTAGTTTAAAAAAAAGGATCATGGAAGTATCTTGGGGGAGATTGGGTTGCATAGGTTTTTACAAATTTATTTTTAGTTTTACGTCATCTTTACAAAAGATCTTTATTTTACACATTAAATATCTGAAAAAGTTTTTTTTTTCTATATATTATGGTCATACCCAAAATATTTTTCAAAAAAAATAATAGTGGTCCACGTAAGAAACGATAAAAATATCCTATCCTGACCGACCATACCCCATATAAGATGCCGACGTCCCTGATCTTTCGGCTAAACCAACAACCAATCATATACTTCCACGTATTCAACCCCATGCCATTTTTTTCCATCCAGCACACCTATTATATTCTATCTTATCCTATTCTAAAAAATCAGTGCCTCAACATTTTTCTCCAAACATACTGTTTGTTATTAGTTTCATAAAAGAAAATCCAAATTACCTTAGAAATTTATCTCCATTTTCTTGTTCTTAAAGCTTGTGTGTACTATTATAGGCAGATCAAGATAGGGACAAGACTGCGTACACACCACCCTCTTCAGACTCTACTTGTAGAATTGCATTTAGTATGTAATTGTTTGTCAGAAATATCCTCTCTATTTTTCATATAACAGTGTAAGGTTGTGTATACACTACGCTCCCCAAATCCACTTGTGAGATTACACAGGGTAAGTTGTTGTTCTTGTAGTTCTCCACAGAGTATTATTTGAGTAGAGAAAACAGTCTATCTATCTTCACAAGATAAGGGTGAGACTGTGTACACACTGTTCTCTTCCAACTTCATTTGTGAAATTATACTGAGTATGTTGTTGTTTTCATTATAGTTCTATCCGAAGAATCACATTATTGTAAATTTCATTGTTTTTTAGAGAAAAAATCCAGACTTGATTGATTAAGTTCGAGTCTTTTGCCCCTTTCCACAGGTTTTATACTGATCACCAAGATTTAAGGAACACAATTTACCATGGCGGATTCGGACAATGAATCAGGAGGACACAGAGAGAACAGCAACATTGAGAGTTCACTAAGAGAACAAGACAGGTTCCTTCCAATAGCAAATGTAAGCAGAATCATGAAGAAAGCTTTACCAGCTAACGCGAAAATCTCAAAAGATGCTAAGGAGGTAGTTCAAGAATGTGTTTCTGAATTCATCAGTTTTATCACAGGGGAAGCATCAGATAAGTGTCAAAGAGAAAAGAGGAAGACAATCAATGGTGATGATTTGTTGTGGGCAATGACAACTCTTGGTTTTGAAGAATACATTGAGCCACTCAAGATATATTTGCAGAGATTTAGGGATTTAGAAGGGCAAAAAAGTGGTATTTCTGGAGAGAAAGATAATGGTGGATCAGTGAATATAGGTGGTTATGTTGAGGACTATCATGGCATGATGATGATGGGGAATCAACATCATCAAGGACACGGGTATGGTACCGGAGTATATAATCATCAGACGGGGGAGAATGCTGCAGGGGTTGGTACAGGAGGTTCGCGATTTCCTGATGTTGGGAGGCAAAGGTAATTGTAACATCCCGGGACTACAAAGATGTATCAGGACTTGAGAGAAGACGAAGAAACGCGATGTTTGAACTGTCAACAGGTTAAAGTATGGACACTAAAGCTACTGAAAGACATAAACAGGCTTTGTAGTTTGTAGACTTTAGTATATTCTACAGAGATGTAAATTGGTAAACATGTGTGTACATTACAATGTGGTGTAAACATGGTAGTTTAATGGATTGTAATTGTCTATTACATCATTGTTTCTCTATTAGTTGATGTTTAAATAAACTTTTCTAGTGTAACAAATGATTTATATTGCTAACGCGAGTGTGTATCGTAGCATTGTACTATCACTTTTTCACAAGTTTCAAACCAATCGCGACTATTCATTGTTCTCTTCACCTACCTAAACTATCATTTCCTTTGCCTTCTGCCCAGTGAAGCAAAGTTAGAAACTCAGCAGATAATCAATTGGCCCCTATACACTTACATAACAAAGTTTCTTATACAGCAAAATTCGAACCTGTAAAATAATACTCCCTCCGTCCCATTTTATGTGAGGTACTTTGACTCGACACGGAGTTTAAGAAAAAAAAGAAGACTTTTAAAACTTGTGATCTAAAATGAATGATAGAAATTTGTATGGCTATAAATCATTTCATTAAAGGTAAAAAAGACATTTTATAGCTAAACTGTTACTTGATATAAAAATGTGTCATTCTTTTTAGAACCGACTAAAAAGGAAAGTAAGTCAAATAAATTGAAACAAAGGGAGTACAAATTTTGTCTATGGTAGGATTCAAAGCCGATAACATCTGCACTAACACAACAACCATCACACTATGCAATTACCACTAGACCAATGCCTTGAAGGCAAACAACGTTTCCACAACACGAGCAAAGTGCAAAAACTCATAAAGCATATTCGACATTGTGAAATGATTCCTTTTCCACTGCATTTGAACATTTTCAAATCCTAATATCCAAAAATGCAAACATCACTATGCAATGGTCACAACAAAGCACTAGTTAGCTTCAGACAATTTCCGGCTGGGATATTCCGGTCCACAAAAATAAATAAGAAAACAGCCTTACATAGTCACAAATGGGTGTTGATTTTGACTACAGTATTTATACTTGTAATCCATGATCAGGGCAGCTAAATAAGTTGTGACAGAAACAAAAACTACAAATGTGTTTATACAAGCAGTAATCTTGCATTTATAATTCTACGATATCCTAGTCAAAGAGTTAATCATAAAACGATACATTGACAATAGATTACAGCTGGTTTAACTCGTAATGAGCACCTGGAGGCACAAATTCATGAGGATGAGGTCGGTTATTGAGATGGACAGTGTAGGCTACATTTCCTGTGATTACACTCTACTCGTGTTTTCAGGCTTTCACACCTTTGCTAGAAGGCTTTTTTGCAACCTTCAAGGCCTCACCTTCATCTTCCTCATCATCTTCCTCATCAGCTAGTTTAGTAAGCTCATCCTGGATCATAACCTTTATAGACGATTTCCTGGGCATGAGATCGGTATCAAACCGCTTGGCTGCAGAAGAAAAAAGGTGTCATGCATTGCTTAGAAACAAGGACAGCGGTCATTTGAAATCTACATATCTTGCTATTCAGGCCTCATGGAGGTCGTACATTACGTTTCTCAAAATATAACTTGAACTACCACAATAATCAATAAGACCTAGCTTCTTTTTACCAAGTACACCTAAAGAATTGCCAAAAGAATAGACAAAATAAGAACACTCACCAAGTTGCTTCAGAATGTCAGTAAAGGTAGCCTACAAGCACAAAACAGACACGATGTTAGGAATTCTGGAATGCAAAATTTGAGAATGAAAATTACCACTGTGGATCACTCAAATATGCAATGGGTTAGAGTGTCATGGCAAAAAGGAATACAGAAAAGAAAATGTATGTGTCTCCACAGAACAATCATACAAGGGAATTGCAAGATGGGATGAATTGGAGTTCAATGCTAACCGTATTGAAGTCAACTTCTTTCAGAATTTCACAAATTGCATTTCTAAGTTCATCATCACTTGGTCTCAATTTATCCTCCTTGCTCTTGTCCTTTCCCTTTACAATCTTTTTCCCTGCACAAACAGAAAGCTCTCTGAGAAACACCTTTGATAATTATCATTACAAAATCAACCATATTTGAACACCTCATAACAATCCACCAATGGGCATATATAGCGATCCTCACCAGTATTTTCTTTGGGAGTAGACTTCTTTGGCGTTGAAGATTTTTCTTTAACTACTTCAGTTTTTTTCTTCTTTGAAGATGCTTTGGGAGTTGCATCATCGTTAGCAATATGCTTTGAGCTCTTTGATGATTTTGAAGGGGTCTTTTTGGGAGGACTTGGTACTTTAGAGACTGCAGGTTTCTTGGTCTTGGCTTTCACAGCAGGTTCTTTCTTTGTTGAAGATTTACTTGAACTACGCTTATGCTTTTTCTTGTTCTCCTTAGGCTCTGGCTCTGGCTCCGGCTCCGGCTCCGGCTCTGGCTCCGGCTCAGTCTCTGGCTCATCTTCAGATTCACTCTCCTTCTCACTTTCAGCCTGATCTGACTTCTCATCATCAGATCTCTCAGGAACACCATTAGTCTTTTCCTCTTCAGATTCCTCCTCATGGACATCTACTTCTTGCTCAGATTCATCTTCTGACTCTTGCACATTCTTCTTCTTTTCAGCCTTTTGTGCAGTTTCGGCCTTCTTTCCACTCTGTATTGTGAAAAAGAAAACCAAACACCCCCCAAATAAAATATTGATGTAAAAGCACAGCTCCGCCCTTTCTTTTTTCTTATTCTAATTCGAAAACAACATATGGTAATAAACATGATGACTGTTCTTAAAACATATGTAGTATTAATCCAGACAGCAAAATTTCAGCTTACTGTAAGATGACTTTTTCTTCTTTTTCATTAAGGTAAAAAGATCTCACTCTATAAAAATCAGATTAGCAGTCGAACATTTCCAAGACAAAGCCACTTCAAAGCAGCAGGAATAAATTGCAAGCAATTTTGGCAACTTCTACACTGTTAAGTCATGGTGATACTAACCCTCTGAGATCTTAGAATGTGGATTCATAAACTCAAGACGGGAACAGGTAAAACTACAACAAAAAATTTTGTGCAATGAAATTTGATTAATTTTATCAAATTTTGTTCGTGAAATATAATTAAGAGTTAAAACTACAGGATACAAGTTGCCAGTTGCAAATGGAAAACCATATTTCAGTTGGTATTATTTCACTACTAGAACTTAAATAAATGTTAATGAGAGAGAAATACCTTGGTTGAACCTTTCGAGCTAGCGGATGCCGATGAGGGACTTTTTTTGCTCTCTCTTCTCCGCTTCTTTCCTCTACTTGACTATTCATTTGACCGGAGCTGTGTCAGCATACTATATAAACTAACAGAATAAGTGACAAATGCTTTTATCACAGTCAGAAGTCACCCACCTGGTCCTTCTCGGCAAGCAACTCAGAAGTTGTAGCATGAGGAGCTTCCAAAAAGTCCATCAACTTTACCACCATGTCTTCCTGATCATATAAATCTCCTAATTAGTTAAGACGCTTGAGAGGAAGATTGTATACAAGATGCAATCTTCACATAGTACAAAGTGACAGGTTGAAGATGAAAGCAATTTTTTCAGTCAAAATATTCAAAAGGAAAAATATCTTCTTCCTATTTAGCCTACATATGTAATTCTCATAAAATAAATTGCACTTGAGTGAGAAAAGAACTACTTGAGTGAAATATAAAACATGCAGCTAAAACATATGAACACACCTTTCTTGAAGTAGCTTTGGTAACAGGTATATCCAGTACATCACAGAATTCCAACAGCTTCTCTTTAATATACTTGTCAAGCTTTTCTTTTACTTTCATCTTTTGCTTTTCCTGCAACATTACAATGACCTAACCTTGAGAACTTCTAGAAGCTCAAACATAAGATAATGGATGAGACGCAATTTTCTGAGAAACAATGAATGAGATACATATACAACCAGTATGAGCAAACAAAGAGAAGGTTTATGCTCAAATTTCCCCAGATCACCATCTCAGGCAAAAAGGGAACGGAATAGTCGTTTACTCATACATGCATCCTTACACAACATGAGATGTCATTTACCTCATTTTCATGCCAGACAAAGCCAGAAAACCGTGAAATATTACTCTTGATCTGGGCTGCCTGCGAAGGACAAGAACTATGAGAAAAATAAATAAATGATGAAACTAGGAAAGCAAGATTAAAAGTGAATATCAATCTAGCGGAATGAGCTGCTGACTAATTCCACAAGTGGTGATCAAGTAACAAGCAGAATAATCCTAATGAAATTATCAGTAAGAAAAATCATGCTAAATGCTTCAAATCATCATAATTGCAAGAAGAAAATAAAGGAAAATCTCATGTTCAACAAAACTTGCAATCAAACGCAGACAAGCACACTATGGTAAATATTTGCAAGACTTTTTCTTACAGGGAATAAATTGCAGATATCAGAAAGTTTCAACTGATTGCTGGAAAAAAAAAAGTACCTCAGTGTCAGCTGAAAAGAAATGATATGGCACTTAGGTTGCAGATGTGACTCTTTAGAAACTAGATATAGTTTATAAAGCATTTCTTTTTTCTTAAAGAAGTACAAGCTTCCTCGTGGACTTAGGTTGCAAATGATCTCAAAATTAGATGTATCACTTCAGTTGTCACTGCTTTTGAGTTGTGAAATAAGAAAAGTAAACTACAATATGGCTCAAACAAAATTCAAAATACATTAGAGTACCCACAACATTATTATTTATAACCATGGTGTCCAGGCCAACTTTCGTGCGCCTCAACTAATTCCACTTGGGACCTGTTATCTCCCACCGACAGGTAATTTCCTCAAGATAAAAGGTGAAATGTTCGCTTCACCTTGGTAATTTCATATACCGATTCTATCCTCCTTTCAAGGTGAAAGATGAGGGAAGAAGAAAAACGACTTTTTGTGAAATAATTAATATCAAGCAAAGCCAAAACTTTTAGGCTATCACATGATACAGGATGAGTCATAAAGAGTAGACTTTGTGAAGTTCAACTTCAGGATTCTACTTTCTGAAAGGACATGAGGACATAGTGCCATCATGAACAAGTGAAACTCCAGTTCTGCACTGTGCACAATGCACCCATCCTAAGTTCCAAACACATTAAAGATTCTTTTTAAGTTTTCTTTTCATTTTTCTTCGTCCACCTAGGAGTCTCACCTTTGGCTTTCAACGTGGCAGGATTATTATTATTAT